ACTATGGCAGAACACGGTTGTATATTTTGTCCACTGGTTATATAATCATTACACTGGGCATGTCTTACAAGAAATCATGTAATATTTATGGAACGATGGAGTGAAAGAACGAATTCCATGCTATGAATTATGAGTGACTTCTGTTGTCTTTAACTTTCAAAGAGAGAGCAATAGCTGGAATAAAGGAAAGAAGCTGTTACATGATACGGAGAAAGGCAAAGATGAGGGAAGATACACTGTGGAGAGAAGCCCAAGATGGACTGAGGAGCTCTACTCTTCAGAGGGGGTTGCCATCATGCTACAAAAACTAGAAAGCCCAGGTCCTAGAGAGTACTATAGAAAAGGCTTGCAGTTACCCAAACCCAATCCAATGGTCCTTTACATTTCATTCATCCAAGTTACTCAGTTCTCAGAACCCAGTGTGAACCAGTAGGAACCAAGATGTTGGAAGAAGGAAGTAGTAACTCCAAGTCACAGTTACTGGAATGAATGAGGGGAGGGCAAGGAAACCCCAATACAGGCTGTCTCTGCAGCAAGACAAAAGATCATTTTATAAGCATCTCACTAAAAATTTAGCAGAGGAAAAGCTGAAATGCTCTAGTGAGAAGGCTTCTCTTCTATCTCTTCGGTTTTCAGATCTTAATAAAAATGGGTTAGAGAAGCAATACTACTTTGTACTCCTATTTGACCCACACCACTCTTGGCAAATATGATGGTGAATACTGAGGGACAACTTAACAGGATCTACAATACCTAGGAGATAAGCCTCTGGCCAGGCCTGTGAAGGATTATCTAGATGAGGTCAAAGAAGTGGGAAACTCCACCCTGAATGCAGACTGCTATTCCCTGGGCAGGGATTCTGCACTTTGTACAAAGGAGAAAGCCAACAGAGTGTCTCCATTCATCTCTCTGCTTCCTGAGTGCAGACGTGGTTACCTACCAACTACCTGTCTCATTCTCCTGCTGCGATGGACTAGACCCTCAAACCATGCGTCAGTAAACTTTTCCTTCCTCAAGTCGCTTCTTGTCAAGTACTATGTCGCAGCAACAAGAAAAGTAACTAATGGAAAATGTCACTAATCTTTGACATGATTAGTTATAATCCCTAAGAATAATTTCTAAATCACTGCCACCAAATGTTTTAAAATTATAAGATTTATTAACTTGACCTACCTGATATTTATATTAAAGCAGTCATTTGAGAAGTGCCACAAAAGCCTATTAGATGGAAGATGGAAATGGGGTCAAAGATTCCAAGCAGCAGCAAAAAAAAAATGGCAAAGCAAAGGTTGCTCCTGTCCTAAAGACCAGTGTGAACCCTGCAGGCACCTCAGCTGATCTCCCTTGTCACTACCCTCTCTCAACACCAGCTTCTTCCTAGTCAAGGAAGAACTGAACCCCTGCCAAGGCTCCGAAGTGATTATCCAAAGCAGTAGAAGCTAAGGGAACTAAGGGGCAGAGTCTTAGACTGAACTGAAGGTCAGATCGTCTAATCTATTTTCAGTCTTCTCATAGAGTTCATTTGGATGCTGATTAGAAAATGAGAATCAAAAGAAGAAGCTAATTTCTTATGGAGTCATTAGGATAAATCACAAACCAGAGAGAAAGAGACAGAGCCACAGAGTAAGGGAGAAAATAGCTTGAAATTTCTCACTGAAGCAAGCTGGGATGATAACAGGTAACATTTATTACATACTTCTCCTAAGCACAATCACTAAGCACTTTGTAGTACATACAACATTATGAAATGGGTTCTACTATTATCCATCTTTTATAAATAAAGAAGAAAACAGAAATTAAGAGAATTTTAAAAACTTGCTTAAAGTCATACAACTATTCGGAGCAGGAGGTCTAACTGAAGAGCCCATACTTTTATCCAACATAGTTATAAATACACGTGCAATTTTTATTGAACCAGACTTTTTCTCAAATGAATATGTATTCACAATGAGAAGGATCCAGAAAACATAAAACAAGTGGTTAAATAAACACCACAGGTTAAATCTCTACCATCTGGTTGTAGACCCCTACGTGTCTGCCATAATCACGACTGAATAGCTGTACTACAAATAACAAAGTTATTCAGTGTCTTGGTCTGGCTGTGAAGTTACGTTTTAATTGAAGCTCTCAAAACACTACAAATGAAATATGTTGCACTCTTAGAGTTATGAAAATACATTATTTCTCAGGCTATTCACTGTCCTATTTCTGCTCAGTTTCCTCCCTCCCTCCCCCATTTCCTCTCTGCCTCACATCCTTTAAAGCTGGTTCAGTTCCTCTTTCTCAAGAACACCTACATGCACATTTCACCCAGGGGAGTGCTAACCCCTGTCTGTGTGCAACAGCTGTAGATGGTCAAACTTACAAACAACAAGAGCCAAGAGTGGAAGTACATTCTAATGGATGTTCAGTTTTAGACCTATGCAACTGCAGAAATAATTTGAAATATTCTTGTTGGGACCAATTAAGTCCTGGCCTTCAGCTGCCCTTCCCTGTCTAGAGCCTTCTAATTGAAGTTACTAGAAGCTGTGCCTAGTCTAGAGGATCAGAGGATGGGATTTTCACCTGTTGGCCATTGACTGCAGAGTACTTAAGCCTCCTCCATGATGCTATTAAAGATGGGCTTTTGGTACCAGTGTTGGAAGGTCTGCGTGTCAGTCTGTCTCTGCGTGTGTTTCCTCAACCTCCAGCCCCTTGCCCAAAGCTCGTGAATTGGGTTCTAGCACATAGAACGCAGATGGGGGCGGGGTGGGGGTGGGAATTCTTGTTTTTCTATTTCACACTTGGAATCTGCTTTTAACAATTGGCATACCCCAAAAGTCTTCCCTTGTTTGGCCTTTTTTTGCAAAATATTTTTTCCAAAACTTTTCTCTAAGTCTGAAAATACAAAAGCAACCAACCCCCAAACAGGTTGTTAGACAACAAATATATCATATTTTAGTAACATAATTATCATATCCTGAATAATGTACAGCGCCCAACGTAAACGTTCTACAAACAAACAGTGAAACTTCTGAGATGGGTGTGAAGGTGCACACGTGGTATCAGCAGTGGGCAGAATGTGTACTGAATAATGAGACTCTGGCAGTGTAAACCGAGGACTCCAGACGCAGCTCCTTGGTGAAGCACTCTTCCTGTCCTCCCAGAGACGCCTGCAAACCCTAGTCCTGGCAGTCCCTGCTAGAGCTGACAAACCTAGCTCACCCTCCCCTAACGTGAGTACTCATGGCGATTCGTTTGCTCTCTCTATTTATTGGACATATATATGTATATGTTCTATATATGCATATATACATATATAGAATGCCCATATAACTTTGTTTTACCTGAACCAAGATGTTATGTATGAGAACATCGGTGCTGAAGTTAAAAGAATCCTAACCTGAAATGGGATGCTCACACTTACTAACTCTGGGACCTAGAGCAGCTAAATGCTAATTTAACATTTCACTTATCTGATGGGAGGACATTAATTACCTACGAGGCCTTCATGCTTTAAATAATTATATAAACACTGAACATAGGCTCTAATACTAGAAAGTGTGCTATAAATGACCACACGGGAGATAAACTGTCATACTAAAGGAAGTTTAGTTGATGATGAACAATACATTTTCTTTTACTAAAACGATGGAACTCTGTGAAACTCTACATTAAAGATGAATTAGAACTAAAAAAAAGTCTGCATGTACCCTGTACCCAGATGGCAGAGAGCATGCTCAGAATGTGTGAAATGGTTGGTTCACTCCCTAATACACACACAAACACACACATCCCTGAAAGTTCCAAGATTATATATGAAATTATCCAATGTCAAAGATGATGAAAATCTTGAGAGTTCCTAAGTCTGGGTAATGGGTGCATGCTATTTTAAATATTTTTGTAAAAACATATTTATTTTTAAAGTACAAATTGAATCCCCTGAGTGTACGTATTTCTTCATATTTAGGAGAAATCAGAATTTGAGTCTTAAGATGTACTGAACAACGGTATAATTCTACTCAGTAAAGTTTTCACTAACCATTCTACCTTTCATTATAAAGGTGAACAACAAGAATACTTAAATGCATTAAATGTTTATAAGCATGCAGATTTTTTCAGCTGCATATCAGTATTACACCAAACAGCAGCAACACGCTTTTTTCTGTATCCTTAAGAAAAAGAAAGAAAGATTTTCACTTTGCTTGCTTGATTATGAGGCAATCATAGGAATAATCCCTAACCTGTAGGTAACTGAATTTTGCAGGCCTCCTATCAATCCGTATAAAGGCTGTGGGCAAGGTTTCTGGATCGCTTTCAGGTTTTATCAGTGACAATATAGCAAGCCTTCAGAGAGAAGTAAGCAATTTCTCAGAGGCTTATGTAGTTTGGCCTCCGGTCTGTGCTACCGAAATTAAGCTAACAGCACAAAATTCCAAGTGACAACTTGCCTCCCCTGAGTAGAACACTCGTGAAACGGATCAAAAAGCATGTAACAAAACGGTAGTTTCTGTGCTAACTTCAATTCCTATTATGAAGTAGCTGGCTCTATCCGAAATGTTCCTATTCATTATGAGTCCAAGTTTCAAAAGAAATGAACCTATTGGCCACGGGCAATCCCTGAACAACACAGCCCGTGACCAATACTCGCAAACAGCATCCTATCTGCAGAATGAAAGCCACCTGCACTGGCAGCCTTAGTTTCCCCAGCCACAATGCACTTGCAGCCGTTTTTTCTCCCTTCCTTAAATAGGCAATCAACTTTACTCTGGTGACCGAGTGCTTCCTATGCACCCTGGAAGTGCATAACGCAGAACAGAAGTCAACGCTTAACATTTCCCAACTTTAGCTGTTAAAAACGCGAGCTGTGGACGCCAAGCATCCGCCCACTGTCCTCTCATGACTCGGGCTACTTTGACGCACCGGGATGCGGCTCACCTGACACTCTGCACCAACGCTGACCAAGGAGGGGGGGAGAGGAGAAAAACAATAAATAAATAAATAAACTAAGCCAAAATAAAATGGGTCTCCAAGGCAACGCGCAGCCCGGTGCCCCTAAGGAAAGCCGAGGACCGCGTCGCCCCTCAACCAGAGGCGGCGGCCGTCACCTGCCAAGCGAGGCCGTGCCGAGGGGCACAGGGTCCCGGCCTCGGAGAGGAGCGGCCCGCCGACCCCGAGGCCGGGACAGGAACCCGCAGCCCAGGTTTCCGCCCGGCTCGGCCGAACCCGGCCGGGGCCTAGGGCGGGGGCCGCACGCGCTGTCGAGAACGGGCCCCGGCGGTCTGCGGCGCGCGGCCCCCTCGGCACGGCCCGTGCAGCCCCGGGGCCGGCGGCGCCCGCACCTGCCCCGCGCCCCGCGGCAGCAGCGCTGCCGGGCGGCTTCACCCACCTGGCGCCTCGCGCGCGTCACCGCGCCACCGACCCCCCGCGCGCTCCTCGGCACCCGCGCCGGGGAAGACCCTGCCGTGCCGCCGCCGCCGCCGCCGCCGCCACCGCCGGGTCAGTCGTCAGGTCGGCCGCAGCGAACCTGTTGCGCAGCCTGTCACGGCCGCTGTGCTCCGCCGGCGCCGCCTCAGCCCCACAACAACATGGCGGCCGCGGCCTCCGCAGGAAGCCGGGGGGCGGGGAGGCGAGCGACGGGCGGGCAGTGACGGTCCGCCTGCTTGCTTGCCCGGCCGGCCGTGGGGCACCGACTCCCCACCGCGGGGGAGCGCGACACTGCGTGACGTGCCTGCTCACCTCGGGAACCGTGGAGCCCTGGACCGCGAGGGCGTGGGCCGAAGCGCTTCGCTTCCCGCGATGTCCCGAAGCCTCCGAGCTGACAGCCTTTCCAGGAGCTGCCACGACCCACCTGGCTCCTCCTCTACGAGGTGACTTGCGGAGGCTGGGTGGGACGTTTCCTGCCACACTGGACCCCAAGTTTTTGGAAAGGGCCAAGAGATGTCCAGGACATCCCTGTTGGACCACACATGGAGCTTGCTTTCTCGCTCTGGAACCTTCTTATTCACTAAAGGTCTCTTCGTTGATGAGGGAGCTAGAATTTCCTGAGATTGGGGAAGTTAGAGGTTCAAAGGAGTTGCCTCTACCTTTGAAACAGACCCTTCTCAGGAACTCCCCTAAAGGAGTTAACCGCACCCAAGAGTCGGCCATCCATTCACCATCACACACACACAGAGAGAGAGAGAGAGAGAGAGAGAGAGAGAGAGAGAGAGAGAGAGAGAGAGAGACAGAGAGACAGAGAGAGACAGAGAGAGAGACAGAGACAGAGAGAGACAGAGACAGAGACAGAGACAGAGAGAGTCCAACAAGGAGCATCCCTAAACCTGTTCACATGCAAGAGCATGCTCCTCACAGGAAGACTGCTCCAATTTCTTCTGCCTGCAGAAGCTAACATTCTTACCTGTCTGATAGGAGAAAGTCAAATTCAGAATTCCTATCACCCCTTTCTATTATGCGGACTCCTCAAATATCTATATCTAGGGCTAGCCAGTCTACAAAGTCAACACTCCCTAAGGCAGAAAGGCTTTCTTTAGATTGGTGTGAAGATGTGATGGTTCCTAATGAGCAAAATGGGGTAGTGGAGGGGGGCCCTAAGATTCAAGGTTTAGGTTGAGGGGACTGTGCTGAGAGGCAAAACGCATAACCAGAACTGGCGTGTCTGGAATCCCCGCACTCAAGAGGCTGAGTCGGAAGGACCATGGCTTGAGGTCAGTCTAGGCTATATAGAAACTGTTTCAGAAATCCCATAAATAAATGAATTTTTTAAAATATCCATATCCCTATGATTTCTGTTGAGATGTGAGAGATCTGTGTAGATCAGATGCCCTGGAGCTTCATTTTTTTACCTGTTGCGGCAGATGAAGGAATCAGGTGTGCCCTGCAAGAGACGCTGCTGCAATGCTCAGGCCTGACTGAACTGGACAGCCAACTCCTCAGAGGAATTTAGCAAACATTGATGGGGATAAACAGGCTTTTCTTGCTCTCACAGTGTTTTTTTTAACTCTTCGATTAGGTCTTCACCAAGACCTGACAGACAGGTCCTGAGCTTCCATGACACAGAGACACCTGACTCCCTGGTATCAGTCTAGGAGGTCCCTCACTTCCTGGGGACCAGTTAATAAGGCTACTTCCTCTATAAACAAGCCACTTGGATTAAGAAAAGCACTCCTAAGCACCCATTACCATTCCCATCCCAGTGCTCCCTTCCCATGCCCACATCCAAGTGTGTAAGCCTCAGAACCGCAGTGCTGCAGAGTTGGCCTGCAAGGTAAAACTGATTTTTTTTTTTATTCCTAATAGGCAGATAGTTAATCTCCACTTCCCTCCCATCACTGACTAGTGTCACTGTGTTTTGATGTTCTGGACATGGTAGCATTGACCTTGTCTTCTTTCTGTTGAAGAAGCTGCCAGATCCTAGGGAGGAGGAGGATATGGAAGGAGGGAGCATTTGAAAATCTCCCTAAAACAAACTGCAAAGCTAACAACTTCTGATGCAAATTGGGGTTCTGTCAGCCTGCCTGCAATATCCCAAGCCCCAAATCAACACCCCAGGTTTCTATTTGAAATGTCACAACAGAGTACAAAGACTTCCTCCGGTAGCCTAGCTTCTCCCATACATACATGCGTGGCTCTGAGGTGAACCAGTGCCGTGAAGCATTTAGTGGTTAGACAGAAGCCATGAAGCAATGAGGGATCCTCAGCCCCCAGGCAGGCTGTGCTGACAGCCCCTCCATTCAAGAAGCTAAAGAATGGAAAGCCACCCAAGAAGTGTTCTTGCTGCTTCTAGATCTTTCTTTCCCTACTCATATGAAAAAAAAAAAAGTCCTTTTTTGTTTTGTTTTGAGGTTTGCAACACCTCTCTTCTTTCCTTATGTCTTCTTTTGCCAAATTCCAGGACACTCAATGTTTACCAAGAATGCCAACGCCTGAAGAAGTCAGTGCTCCAGATCCACCCAGAATTCTCAGCATCCTTCGTCCTTAGGTATTCATGATTCAGGTAGGTGATGCATCCACCCTCCCAGTTCATTAACTTCCTCCACTCAAGGGCAGATCTTGAAACTAAATTCCCTCAGAAGCTCCCAAATCTATTTTTGGTTCACCTCCGGCCTGGACTGGAGATGAAATAGCAAGTCCTGCCTAAGTCAGAGATATTCTTGTCGATTCTATAAAAGAGTAACAATTAGTGAAGAGTGGAAAGCTAAGGAGTCAGGAGGTAGACTATGTATGTCACATCTGTCTCTCCCAGCCTGCCAAGATCTCAGGTGGATTCTTAGGCCTGTGACTATAAACTGAGGTTTTACCATGGGGACATCTAATCACGGACTTTTCCCTTCCATGTATCTATGCTCCTCCCAGTCATATAGATGCTCTCAATTTTCCCATTTGTAATTTTCAAAGGTCCCATTCTTCATCCAAAATCCTACCACTCAATATATCCTCAAAACAAACCTATTGTGGTGACAACCGGCTAGAACAGACAGAAGTAAACTGTCCCGATTTCAACCATCCCATAGGATAAACATGTTATCTTTTAGGAAGCCTTAAGAAACTTGTCTTTTACATAAGACCTGTACCACTAATAGACTGCCTATGGCAATACTATAAATAGACTTAAACCAATAATTTATGAAGAGATTAAGAGGCTATGGCCAACAGAAATCACCCTGCCTTACCCGGCGTTTGCTACTTCTGGGGTTCTTCTCTCCTGAAGACGGTTTCCATTTATGATTCCCCTTAGATAGCTTCCTTTAGTGTTCCAAGCTACAGTGCAGATATGTTGGCCACAAGTTCTTATATTTTATATAAAATTTAGATGTTATCTGCTTTCATATTTGAATGTAAATTTACATCCACTGGATGTCAGATACTGAGTTACAAACGGTGTGATGGCTCAGGGGTGAAGGCACCGCTGCCATGCCAGATGAGTTGAGTGTGCTCTCTGGGCCCAGCAGGTAGAAGGAGAAAATCACCTCTCACAAGCTGTCCTCTAACTTCTACACATGCACCATGGCAGGTACATGTTCGTGTATAATAAGCACATTCAAAATACAATATAAAAATTCTGGTTTTTATGTTTTACTTGTTTTCTTTCGCTATTTTATTGATATTTTTCAATTCTCGTCTAGTCTCACAGTGTCTCTTGAGAAGTGAGCTGTTGATCAATTATGTCTATTATTGTCATACATCATTTTCTTCACTGCTTTAAGACATGCGCTGTATCTTTGCTTTCAGCAATTTGACTATGACATACACCAACATGGACTTTCTGCTTTCCAGCTTTATGAATCTCAAGACTGCAGATATCTGTCTTTTGTTGAAATATTTTAAATATCAGTCATCATTCCTTCAGATACCTTTTTCTGCTCCACTCTCCTCCTTCTGACACATATTTTTAACTGTTCGTTGTCCTCTGGAGTTCTTGTTAGGTATACCCCAACAGTGAAGCAATGTTCCACTACGGAACACCAAAAACGCTGGCTCTACCCTCCCCTGCACACAGAACATTTGGAGCTATGGGTACTGGGAAATGCTCTTTTAAAAGTTGTGCTTCTTTGACCTTCTTTGGTAAGAGCTTGTTTATGTCTACTGTTAGCCAGGGCATCTATTCTAGTGTCTTATAAGAAAAGAAAAGGAACATCATAGTTTCTCACTCCTTTGTTCACATTCTCTCTCTCTCTCTCTCTCTCTCTCTCTCTCTCTCTCTCTCTCTCCTGAGAAATGGGTGAAAATTAAAGTTTTCCCTTTCTGGGTTTCTTTTTCCTTTCAAAACTTAGAACAAACTACTAACAATAGTGGTTAATGCCTGGATATCTAAAGTTAAGTCCATCTGGGAAACAGTTTGAGACTGCCCTAGTATTTTATCATCAGGATCGTATACTGATGAAAAGTAGTCCAGCATAGGTGTTCCAGGCCCAAGGAGAGGTCTAGGCCTTCCAATGCCATGTCTTTGTCAAGCCATTAATTGAATCGTTTTCTTTCACAAAGTTAAAATTGTTAAGACCCTCACAGGTTCTTAGTTCAGAATCATGATCAATGGGTAAAACCGGTCCTTGGGTTTTCTTCTCTGCTCTTCAACCTCACAAATCCTTTTCTAGAGTATGGTGCACAGGGGGAACAGAGAAGTGGAAATAGGAATAACTCAGGGAAAGAGGTAGGAAGGGAAACCTCCCACTCTAGCATGGGAGGAATATTTCCACTTCCAGGTCACTGGTGTCGTGTACAACTAAGACTGTGGCTTGAAGCCGGATGGTACTGGAAAGGCAGTGCCAGGCAAACTAGGGAGGGAAGTCAGCCCATACTTGGTTCTCTGCCAGCACTGCAGGGTGGAGTCAAAGGCCTGCTTCCTAAGGCCTGAAAGCCCTGAACAGGATGTGCTCATTCATGATTGAAGCACCAGGGGCTTCCAGTCTGGCAGGTGTAGCTCAGCAAATGGGAATCCAGTCAGGAGTCAGACATGCTTCCTGTCTGGCATGTATCCCCAGCTGTCTGCTTATGTCATTGTTACTGTGTGCAGACAAACCAGATACTAGTTCACCACTTGTAATAATCTAACTAATAATATTGTCTTTTACACTGGACAGAGGGCTTTTAATTTTTACCTTTCTATTTTTTAATTTTTGTAGTGCTGCAAATGGAACCCAGGGTCTTAGGCATATTAAACATGTGTTATATTATGGCGCTGTACTCTTAGCCCCTAATTTTTAAAAATTTTTCTTTTCTTGCAACAAATTTGAAAATCAAATATCTGTTTGTGATCAGCTAACTTTGATTGGCATGAGAAAAGGAGGTAAAAATCAGACTTCACCTTATGTTTGGGGATTTTCTCATGCATAGTTTTGATTTTCATTTGCCCCTTTACCTAAAATAATCATAAGCAAGCCTTGCTATCGCAGAAGAGTAACAAGTTTCCTTTAAAGCAGGCACTATATCAGATCCTTTGGTACTGCTTGACCCAGAATGGCTAAACGTTTGTTTCTGGTGTTAGCATTTCTTTTTTCAAAATAAGACAATGCCTTGAGATGAATCTTAAAAAAAAAATAATAATCACTATAACATGCCTGTAATCCCAACTACTGGGGAAGCTGAAGCCGAAGCTTAACAGATTTAAGGCTTGTTTGGGCTACACAGTGGATTTAGGGCCAGCCTGAGTAATGTAGCAAGATCGTGTCTCAGAATGAATTGTGGGGAGAAGAGAAGAAAGAGAGGGGGAAGATAAAGAAAGGGGAGGGGGTGAAGTGGGGGGAAGATGGGAGAAAAGAGGTAAGGGCAGGAAAGGAAAGAAGGGTGACAAATGTTATTACTGGCTCTTTGAAGATTGAGGCAAGAAGGTCACAAGTTTGACGCCAGCCTTGGCGACAGAGCAAGACACTATCAGGAAAGAAGGAGAGGAAGTGAGGAATAAATCCAAACCAGGAGTGGTTATGGGCAGGTACAGAGTAGCCATAACACTCATATCATGCCAAGGGAAGCCACAGGTAAATGGGGGTGTGTTTTGATATTCTAAAAAATGATAAGCCTTTAGACTTGCCCTGTCTTGTCTTCACTTATGAAAACAAAGTCTAGGCTATGAAATTATAGCCCAAAGTAGAATCAGCAACGTGAAGTTCGTCAACATCCCTAGCAGCTAGCTCAGGAGTTTTCTGCTGTGGACTCTGGTGTGAGAAGTCCTTCTATGTGTTGCCTTTATTGTTTAATGAATAAATCTGTTTAGGCCAGTGGCTTAGCAGAATAGAGCTAGATGGGAAAACTAAACTGAATGCTGGGAGAAAGAAGGCAGAATCAGTGAGAAACCATGTAGCCACCGCCAGAGACAGACACACCAGAACCTTGCTGGTAAGACACAACCATTTGGTGATATACAGATTAATAGAAATGGGTTAACCAGAGATATAAGAGCTAGCTAGCATTACGCTTAAGCTATTGGCCAAACAGTATTGCAAATAATATGGTTTCTGGGTAATTATTTCAGGTCTGGGCAGCTAGGAACAAATGAGCAGAGTCCCCAACAGGACTCTGGTGGTGATGATGATGTGGGTGTTGAGTGCTCTTTGTCATTCTGATTTCTTCCTTTTGTGTTTAATGCATCCAATTGATAGGTCTTTTTTAGTCTTTACAATTTAGAACTGCCATAGCCAGGTGGTGGTGGCACATACCTTTAATTCCAGCACTTGGGAGGCAGAGGCAGGCGAATCTCTGTGAGTTTGAGGCCAGCCTGGACTACAAGAGCTAGTTCCAGGACAGGCTCTAAAACTACAGCAAAACCCTGTCTCAAAAAAAAAAAAAAAAAAAAAAAAAAAAAAAAAAAAAAAAAAAAAACCAAAAAGCAATTTAGATCTGCCTAATTCAGTAGACCAACAAAGGAAAAAAAGAAAGAGCAGAAATGGGTTACTTGCAAAACAATTAGCCTCAGAAGCCATTCCTCAGTGGGTGAACTTTTGTTATTCTCATAAATGGAAAACTTGAATGTCAGAGAAACTCCATCATTTGAACAATTCATTCATCTATAAGTACTGTAATCATTAATGAAATGAAATGAAATGAATGAAATTTATGTCCTGCCAATGCTGAAGCATGCATGGGCAGCCTGTATGTAGTGGTTCTGTTGAACTTGTCCATATTGGATTTCATGGTTTAATTGTTGAGGATGACTGACCAGGTCTCTTCCTCAAGAGGGCACCAGATCACATTACAGACAGTTGTCAGCCACCATGTGGGTACTGGGAATTGAACTCAGGACCTTTGGAAGAGCAGGCAGTGCTCTTAACCACTGAGCCATCTCTCCAGCCCCAATATGGGCAATAATCCTAGTCCAATACAAATTTGTTTTTAGCTTTTTTTTCTGGATATATATATATATATATATATATATATATATATTTTCATATTTCTCTTTTACTAGACTTTCACTATAAAATGTCCCATAAAGGCAGTTGTTTTAAAGGCTTGAGCCCTAGTTCATGGGGCTACTGCAAGGTAAAGGAGCTTATAAGAAGTGGA